CGCGACGATCACCCCCGCCGCCGCAGCAGTGTCGGCGGTTATCTTCTCCTCCTGAAGCTTCACATCTACGTAATTACGAAGGCTGCCACTCTTTTCAGTTTATTTTTTTAAAATGTTAGGTTTGAGTTTGTGATTCTGTTGGTTGAGAGACTGAGGTTTAATATTTTAATTTATTATAAAGTATGATTGGTTTAGTGCTAATCTGATATGATTATTGATTAGTACTTGCTTGTTGGATACCATTGGATGATGCGACGTCGTATTAGTTTAATTCTCGAGAGAGGGTATTTATGGAATTTCGTGAGTTTGAAAAAGTCCAAGCGCATGGAACGTTGGACTCGTCCGCACAGCCCACGTGGAGATAGAAGACCGTAGGCCCCACTTCGGTTTGCAGCAAACAAAGCAAACAAAACCGATAAGCCGCTTTTATTTATACATTTATTAGCCAAGTAGTAGTAATTACTAAACATAATTAATTTTATTTTTGGGGGGAGACACGACTAATGGAGTGGTTGTAAAAGAATATTCCTCCAGATTTGGTAGGAGTCAGGACTAGACTTGGAGACCGGGAGGGTACACGCAAAACGGTGTCGTTCTATGTGCCATGGGTCTAAATAGTATAGAGCAGTGGCCCATTTATATATATTTATTGTGGGCCGACCAATCATACCAAACGGTCCAAACATTTTCACGAACCATCATTTGCATTTGCAAACATTTTCACGGACCATCATTTGCATTTGCACTCGGACCGACACTTCTTCTTTATAGTTTCTAAAGAGGCCTTATATAAAAATTACCCGTACTTTCATATTCTTACTTTAATACATATATTTCTTCATCTATAACCATATGACACATGTAATCCAAAATATAATATGATCACATTTTGATTTTATTGATTATAACGTTAAATTTATGGTGTTTTAACAAAAAAAAACGTTAAATTTATGGTGATCCCACTAATTCATTACGTTTATATCTTATATATCTTACTAATTATTTGATTAAAAATTATAAATTTAATATTATGAGTAATGAGATTAATATGTGACCACACTATATTTCGGATCAAATGGATCACATGGTCACAGTTGGAGAAAGGTATATATTGAAGTAAGAATAACAAAATAAGAGTATTTTTCATAATGTCCCGACTGAAGATTAATTGGTCTTTCTATAACACGATTTTACCAATAAAGCATGCCACTTTACAAATCTTCACACTCGGTTTATATAATTCTTTATGATGGTTTATGGCGTGTAACCAATGATATTCAAAATCATTCTAATTGTATCGTTTTCCGATAGGAAAAACGCGGTTTTAACGTTTTTGAATCCATGTCTGACTAATTTTTTTTTTAAAAAAGTTTGTGTAACCGATTATAACAATATGAAGATGTTCTTATCACCCGTAGAAAAAAAAATAATTTCACAATATATATAAGTGTCGTTAATTAGCTATTTGGAAAATATTTTCTTCTCTGAAATTTAACTTTTCAAGGATGTAATGCAACTCCGTTTCCAAAGAGACCATAAATGTGGTTGCACGATGAGCAGTTTCTCCATCCGAGAACTAAAACTCGAGCGTTTTCTTTGCAATAAAACGACACGCACTCCTATCGTCATTTAACAAACGGCAGAGAGTTCGCCCTTTTCCCATCTTTTTCTAAAGCCCACGTACTGTCTGACGTGGCGGAAGCAACAACCGAGAGACACGCGCCCACACGCGCGGAGGCATCAGTCTTCCCCAAGAAGCTACAACAGAACAGAGGCACAAACCTCGCCCTATTCTACTCGTCCGTCGCTTACATACATATTTCAAGGTTAGGGTTTCAAAATCCCCGCCATTTTCTCCTCTCTTATAGTTTCTCTCTTCCTCCCTACGGCTGAAGCTCTTATGGCGTCGATGGCGGTGGAAGTAGACGAAAAGAAAATCACTTCAGCGGCCACGAAACGGAGCCCGGACGCCAACGACGCTGTCTCGGGGAACAATAACCCCAATGACGCTTCTCCTCCTCAACCGAAAGTGTCGCTGAACCCCAAGGATTTCATCATCTCGGTCGCTTCGAACATCGCTTCTCAGCCATTACAGAACTACGAGCCCAATGTCTGGGGAGTCCTCACCGCGATTTCCAGCAACGCTCGCAAACGCCGGCAGGTTTCGCCCCCTTTTCTCTAAACCCTAATTCTCGATTTCGGTGTAGTATGTGTTATCTGGGATTTAATTATGGTTTCTGAAACCCCAGTATGCGTAAATGGGTTCTATTCTAGAGTTTGATTCGATGTCTGATCACGAATAATAGCAGGGCATAAATATACTTTTGACTTGTGATGAGCATTGCATTGGGCGGATGGTGGGTGACGCAAGTTTTAGGATCGAGTCAGGCTCAGTGAGTGCAAATCACTGTAGGATTTATCGTAAGAATGTAATGAGCAACGACCAGGCTGATTCATCGAGCTGTATGGTATCTGTCTTTCTGAAAGACACCAGGTTAGTGGACCTCTCTCCTGGTTAAGTTGTTTGCTTTCTATCTTCAAAGGACCCTAAGATTTAGGTTATGTTTGTGCTTTGCCTCCTTCTCTAATTCAGCACAAATGGCACCTATCTCAACTGGGAAAGGTTGAGAAAGAACAACTCTGGAGTTAGGATCCAGCACGGTGACATCATATCATTGGCTTCTCCTCCGGAACATGGTAATATAAGATTTTTACCCGGGGACTGTGAAATACCTATCTCAGCTTTTGTGAATGGCTTTCGATACTAAACAGTTTAAAAGTTTTTGTCTTGTAGTATCAGGCTTTCCCTTCTGCGTCCACCATTGCAAATGGACTACGGATTTAAAGCTTGTCTTCTTTACTGTACAGATATGGCGTTTGCATTTGTGTATCGGGAAGTGCTTGTATCTAATCCCATGCTGGAAAGCGTGAACAGAAAAAGAAAAACAGGTGTCATTATCAGTGAATTCATGTTTTTTTCCTGTCTTCTGTCTATTCTATCTTGTGTTGGATGTATAACTAGCTGATATTAGTGAGATGGTGGAACAACCACATCAAGCCTTTGTCATTTGACATGGAATGTTTGATGTCTTAGGATACTTTTTAAGCTTTTAATACCAGCATGGTGTTTTCTCACATTCATTTTCTCTGCTGCTGCGAAGAGGATTTTGCCTGTGAAAGCAAGAGGCCAAAGGGCATAGGAATCGGTGGTCCGGATGGTCCAATATCTCTTGATGATTTCAAGAGCCTCCAGCGGTCAAATACGGTATGCTTGTTCTCAGTTAGTTATTTACCGAGGCTTCGATTTATGAAGTGATTTGTATAACCTTTAGATTGAGGTTACGAACTCAACTCTCATATCCAAAAAACTGTGCTTCATGCAGGATCTGAGGAAGCAATTAGAAGTGCATGTGCTTACAATCGACACACTTCGTAGCGAGTCTCGTGCAATAGTTGAGCATCATGAGAACGTATGTCAAATTCCCATATGAAATTTGTTTATTGTGTCTTGATATTTTTTACTGCCAATTACAGATTCTATTGAAAACCATTGAATAATAAACCTGAAGTGGTTAGTAAATCATTTCGATATATTCATATGATATTTCTTTTTTCTTTTCAGGAAATAAAGGAAATCAAAGAAACAGTTGCAAAATCATTTCAGGATGAACTGAGTGAGCTGCGTAATCTGTTAGATGCTAAGCAGAAGGAGCTGGCCCAGGTCTGTAAATTATCAGCTGAACAAAAGCATTCCATGGATGACCTTGGTGAGAGACTTAGCGCTTCTATGCAATCTTTCAGTGAAGCAAATGAGATAATTAAAAGGTAAAGGAGACGGTTCTATCACTCTTGCGATAATTTTTATGGAAGTTTTCGCTGTGTGTTTCTATCCTCTGGAACTTAAATAAAATGAACTGTGCCAACAATTTGCCTCAGTTTCTTCGAAAGCCAAGATAGGGTATAGACCCCAATGGATAGTGATACTTATGAATTGATGCTGGGGATTGTGGTGCTGTAGACTAGAGCCTTTGAGCTGTTTCATTTGGTTTGTTTTCCTTCTGTGCTATAATTGTTTTATAATTTTCTCTGTTTGAGTTTGAGTAGTTTTTTAGCTCGGTGTGCATTAAGTGTCCTTATGACTTCTCGAGGATCATTTGCAATCAGTTGCTCTTTCGTCTTGAAGAAACCTTGTGACTGTATATTTAAATGCTTAAGCATCACAGATTATGAACCTTGAGAACAATTAATATATTTCTCAGTCAAAAGGCTGCTATCATTGAACTCAAGACACAATTAGATGATGAGCGAGATCAAAGAAGAGAAGAACGTGAAAATGCTGCTGCTGAAGTAAAGGCTGTGATTCATAAATGCCAAACCGAGGCTCAAGAGGAATTGAAGCGATTTTCTGATGCCGCTGTCAGACGAGAAAGGGAACAACAAGAAGTGATCAACAAATTAAAGGTATGAGAAGAGTAAGCTATCTATGAATCACTCCGTTCAATTGTTATGGGCTTTTGAAGCATGAAAGTCTGATCGCCGTAATTTCAGGAATCAGAGAGAGAAAGGTCTTTGCAAGTGGAAACTGTGATGTCAAAATTGGTATATTTTAATGCTTTGATCTGTAAAGTTACTTAATCTCTTCGCAATACAAATCCCTTTTAACTTGTTAATTTTGTGTAAAATATCTTGTTGGTGTTTCACAGGAAGATACTAGACAGAAGTTGGTTTTCACTGACAACAGAGTTCGTCAGCTAGAAGCTCAGGTCTCTGAAGAGCAGCTGGCTTCTGCAAATGCAAGAAAAGTACCAAACCTGGACGCAAATGCTTTTTTATTATACATGTTTCTCTCTTTTATTTCCTTCTTTATTAAAGGTTTCATTGTTTCATGAAATTTTTTTAATTGGAGCAGAGAGTGGAAGAACTTGAACTTGAAATGAAAAGACTGCAAAAGGTGCTGGAGAGTGAAAAGGTAAGAAGGGAAATTCTTTTGTTTTCTTATAAACTGCGGCTTGAACATTATCTTCTCAAGAGATCAGGCTCATGTAGTGAGCAAAACTTTCTGGGTTGTATTTTCTTCAGTCAAGTCTACTTTTAATCTGAGGTTGTCTTTGTTAATGGTAGCAGGCAGCCCGAGAAGAAGCATGGGCAAAAGTGTCTGCCTTAGAACTGGAGATAAGTGCTGCTATGCGAGACCTCGATGTTGAAAGACAAAGGTTACGAGGTGCAAGGGAAAGAATTATGCTCCGGTAAGAATATTGTAACTGTATATAATTCATTGGTTAGCCTGCTTTTTTGTTCAAACATCTTAAACGATGTAAAGGTCAATGAATGCTATCTCAAGTAACTATGGTCTTTTGTTCTTCTAAGCAATTCTTTTTTGCTGTCTCAATTGCCATCTGGCAGTTGTTTCCTGTTGAATGTTGTCTTACATCTATCCAGATGCATTGTAATACAAGTTTGATAGGTCCAAGTTAGTCTGTTAGTGTTAACATGAAAATGTTCATGCAGTGAAACTCAATTGCGGGCATTTTATTCTACGACCGCGGAGATATCAATTCTGTTTGCAAAGCAGCAGGAACAGCTCAAAGCCATGCAGAGAACTTTGGAAGATGAGGAGAATTGTGATAATACGTCTGTTGATATCGATCTCAATCCAGTAACTAGAAATGCCAACACAGCTGGTACTGAGGAAAATGAAAGAGCAACTTGGCATGCCAATGGTGCTGCAAAAGCAAGCTCCTCCACTTCAGGGCAGAGATTTAACAGAAACGAAACAGTGGATACTTCTACTGAAGACGCAGGTGCTACTGAGAAGCATGACTGTGAAATCATGAGCCAGGAAGGACAGAATACTCAAGAAGCAGAATACACAAGCACTGAGCGCATTGCCAAGGGTGGGTTTGGCTCAGATATTGAAGGTGTTGGTACCGCCCCGATTTTGGATTCAGACGTTGTGGGAACCGAACAAGTTAATGAAACTCAGAGTCCAGGAAATGATTACGAGAGAAATGTTAACCTGAGCAAGTCAAACATTTTGTCTGGTGATGCAGTGCAGATGGATTATGAAACTCAGGCACATGAAAGTGGTCAGCACGATCATCCTGTTCCTCTGTTACCATTGAGGAGTCGAGCAGATGATCAAATGGATATGGAAGACACGGAGGGGGTAGGTACTATAAGAACAGTCGATCTTTTAGCTTCTGAAGTTGCTGGAAGCTGGGCTTGTAGCACAACTCCTTCTGTACATGGAGAGAATGAAACCCAAAGAAGTAGAGAGGATGGGGAGAGTCAGACTCAAAGGGTAAAGGAAGTGGCTATACTACATGATTCTGCAGGTCTGGTTGCTGAAAGTCAAAGTAAACCTTCTTCTTCTGAGGTTGTGGCTGTTGTCGGAAGGAAGGATAATGGTCGTAGAGCTCTGAGCGAGATGATAGGGATTGTTGCTCCGGATCTGAAAGACCAGTTTGTCCACACTGGAAATGATCAAGGGAAGGGAGAATGTGATTCTGTTTCAGACTCCGATACCAAGAGCTGTTCTGATTCTGATGATGATGGTGACGCTGATGATCGAGGGAAGGAAAAACACGGTTCTGTCTCGGATACAGACAACAACGAGGCATTGCAGTCCTCTGATTCCGAGACGGAAGGAAGTGATGGAGTTGTGAGAGAGGTTGATACAATGGATGAAGACGATGGAGCCACTTAGCAACATTCTCTTTAGGTAGTCCTCCTTGCTTGGTAACATATCCGTGAACTTGCTCGTTCCAAGTTTAGTATAGTTTTGTCCTGATCATTTCATTTCATTTCTATATTCAGACTTGCAGGTGAGACTTGAGCTGTGCAAGGGCGGTGGCAGAGATACCCTAGTTCCTTGCTAGTAAACATTGTTTGATGATTCATGGCTCGCTCGCCTGTTTTTCCATTGGAAGTCAATGTGTTAATCTGGCTCAGGACATATACCGAGATGGGTATAGTAAGAGATACTGTGAAGGGGATAAGGCAGATTATCAAAATCATGAACATGGTAAGAAAGGAACAAGAAATGTAACTGTTTATTTATATATATTAAAATTAATGGAGGAGGGTGGTGGAGATTGTGATTTGGACCACTTAGGGTTTTGATGCTGAGAGGAGCGTGGAACAATCATGCATCATTGAAGCGGTGAGAAACTCAGAGATCCACTACCAAGCTGGTAAATATTTTTATTACTCTTGACCATCCTATGTTTCCTTTGTAATAGTCATGGTAATTTTTCTGTGAGATTGGGTTGAAACATAAAAGATCAAGAAATGGCCAATGCTCCACTGTGGTAGATAGAGAGAGATAATAGTGTGCTCAAAGGGGGTGGGCTATATTATATGATAGACAATAGGTATAAAATTATAACGTTTTTGAATACTTTTTTTTTTTCCTGTTTTAGAGGCAAGAATTTGATTTCGGGGTTGACTAGCTGCTAGGATAGGATCCCTCCCCTCCTCTCTGTGGTCTGGCTGTATCAACGCCAGAAATGAGTAGAGTTTTCTTAGTGGTCCTAGTCCTTTGCCTCATCAATTTTTGGGGGGATGGGGGAATATGATGTTTATATTTTTTTTATTTCCTCAACAACATCATCGCATGATAAGATCTATAGTGGATTCCTTGTACAGGGAGTGGAGAGTGATGAAAGAATCGGATCTTTTATATTCAAGTTCAGCCATGGATCTTATTGGAATTCCTACCGGGTTTTTTTTTTGTGGGAGGGGGGGTGTTTTTCTATGTGACGGGCTTTTGGAAATAAAAGGGATAATATATACATATATGTGTGTGTGTATACTAAAGAATGGAGTTATGAGGGAGAAATGGGGTAGGAATTGGCGTATGTGAAAGGGGGAAACATGTGAGGAGGGGTTTGAACAAATCAGCCCACAATTTCTAATATCATCATTACTAAGGATGAAGAGAGAGAGAGAGGTATGATGATTGAAGAAGAAAGAAGAAGAAGAAGAAGATGCCAAATCGGTGTTTCATTTTCCGAATAAATGAGGATTGGCTTTTGGTACTCAATTGCACTCCAATCAGTCACAACTCCTTCAAACAAAAAATCAATAGCAATAATCTCTATGAGGAATGTCACCCTCCACTCCCCTTTTTCACTTGGTTCATGATTCTAATCACGTGCCAGCCCACGTGCCATCGCCCACCTTTATTCTTTCTTTTGTTTGTTTTTATTTTTATGAAATCCGGCTGTTATCAGCCTTGGAGGGAAATTTCCCACACACTAACCCCAGTTTTCGGCCTAACCTTGGAAAAAGGGAATGTGAGATAAGACCATCTTGAACGCTGGGCTCTTTGTTTCTTCTTACCAAGTCCGAGGTTCACACGGTCTCCTTCTGAAAATGGAAACCCGACTACTACCTTTCTTCCGTGTAGCCATTGGACTTGGGACTCGCATGTATCAGGACGATATTTGAAGGCCGTCTTTACTGGAAACGATATTGGTTGTCGAGTAAGAATTCATATGTCGTCCAAAAAAAATGAATGTTTATTTAGTTCCTTAGCGAGGACTTATGTAGGTGTATGACGAAACGGTATTTTAGAAAATGGGGTAAATTAATAATTATGCATCTTAACGGAATGATTAAGCATGATTAGTGATGTGAGGTGACATAATAATAGAGTGGAGGAATTTGGATTTACACTGTCTTGAGATTAGAGGCTCTCGTACGTAATCTCTTTCCAATTTAAAGGCAAACACGGGATTAGACTAAACAAAAGAAAAAAAGGACAGAGATAATGAGAAACCGGATTATACAAAACACAGACCAAAAAAAAAAGGACAAGACTTTGATGAAAAGTTACAAAAAAAGACATACATGCAAGAATGTCTGGTTATGGGAACTCGAGGTTTTGAGATGCTCTAAGCCTCTAAACCGAACGCAGAGTCTAAACCCCTTTCTTTTGACTTGTTAGGCCCCGAGAGTAATCATGCTTTGACCTTTTTGGTCAGTCAAATAAATCTGCCAGTTATCTCCTTAATCGCCCACCAAATCTCCCATCTTTTATGAAACATAAGTAATTACTACATTTAGATAAGTTGTACTCGACCGAACCAAAAACATATAATAACAACAAGTACAAATCTGAAACAAATTGTCATTGATACTTCACGGAAGTTGCCGTGTGTAAAACCCTCACTGTCTCTGGAGCTTTTTGGGGAAAGTAACCGAGTTCCTCACAGGTTCGCCTTTAGGAAATCTAGATGGATCTCTTCTGAAAATGGAACAGTATTTAATCAGTTAAGAACAAAGATTATACGTACGTGTGTGTGTGTATATATATATATATAGAGAGAGAGGTAGTTTTGTTCTTCTTCTTCTTCTCCATCTTCTTCTTCTGCCCTGGCCCTTTGTAATCATGAGTCTCCTTTTGCCATCATTACCTTCAAAAGCCTCTCTCTCTCTCTCCCTCTCTCTCTCTCTCTCTCTCTCTCTCTCTCTCTCAAAATGAAAAAATGCAGACAGAGACACTACAGCTCCATCTATATAACGCATCTAAATCTATTCCTCCTCGAAACCCAACTCAACCCTTTTCCTCTTCTTGTTCATCATCTTATTATTTCTGATCCAATTTATTACACAACTGAATCTCACTCGAGTTCTTCAAATCTGCAGCTCAAGAAACAGACAAAAAGATTATCATGTGTCGGTGCCCTTCAGAACCATTCCCGGAGTCCCCCATAAAACCCGTTTCGTGCCATAAACAGAAGATCAAGACACGCAACCACCTTCGCATCCCCAGCCTCCGCAGGTCCGATATTCATCATTAACTTATTCCACATATTTTACGTATATGCATATATGCATGTATATATAGAGATACGAGATTCTGAATCACACGTGTTGTACTGTTCGTTTGACGGCGCAGGAGGAGAAGGGTTTGGCTTGAAAACAAGAGAGAAAAGATGGAGATCATGATCAACAACTGGAGGATTTACATGGAGAATCAGAGCATCATACGTGAAAACGAGAGGCTGAGGAAGAAAGCCCTTCTTCTTCACCAAGAAAACCAAGCTCTCCTCTCTCTTCTTCAGACCAAACTCCCCCCTTCTTCCTCATCCGCTTGATCTCGTCCATAGACAATCCTCTGTTCCAAATCTCTTTCTATCTTGTTTCAGATATCACTTTCCTCAGTCACTCTCTCTCTCTCTCTCTCTCTCTCGGGTGTTAAATAAGGTTTGGGCTCTGGAGATCAGAAACTTTTGGCTTTCGGGGTTCTTTTATCTAAGTGGGTTTACATGCAGGAGTTTTAGTGATTGGGTATACAGCTAATTGATGTTCTTTCATTACTGGTTTCGTGTAATCTCTACCAATATAATGGTGTATTAAATTAATGGGTATTTATAGTTTTTTTTTTCATTTGCACGTTCCTTTTTATTATTCCTGATATTCGTATTCTTTCCCCATATATACGACGGGCTATATATGAACAAGAGACTTAATATTTTCTTATAACTTTATACATAAAAAAAGTCTACGTACTCAAAAATTAATAGTTTTTAATTTGGTTATAAAAAAAAAAAGATGTCATGCAACGACACGGTTTCACGTAGACTTTCTCATCTCTTAATTGCTTGCTGTTGAAAGAAAACTTCGTTCATTTACTATGGTAGTAACATTTCATCCCATACTCAAATATATGACTCGAATTTAGAATTTCATGACGTATATATGTATATGATCTTTGAAATAATATGGTTAATAAACATAATCATTTGATTACGAACCTTTGTAGATCTGTCGATTTTATAGTAGACATACTTTAACAAAATTTTGTCACAAACACTAGGCTATGTACCATATTTTAAAATAAAATTGGACATACTTTTTCCATATGTTTTTTTTTATATACATTTGTCTTGCAAGCTAAGCTTACTAATATATAGATTCAAATGAGTTAATTAAAATTAAAAAAAAAAACATACTGCAAATCGTTTTTATATAATCCTGATAAATCTTCATTTAACAATATATATTCACGAGCGGACCGTTTCGAGATGGCTGAGTTTTGTCTCTACTCCACTCTCCCCTTTGTCTGATTCCGCCAACAGTCCCCCCACAGACATCATGACGTTTTTTTTAAATGACAATAACCAAACATGCATGCCACTGCATATCCAAATACGTACCTATCATTAAGATGTAATGATTCAATATAGAATGTATTTGAGAACCGATATATATATGTGTATATATATATGCCCAACCCAACCCAACCCATAAACAGAGCGTAAAACAGATTCATCATCTCCTTTTTTTTTCAGACAACAAGGAAAACACAGAGCTAATAACGACCGATTAGGATGAAATCATCGTCGTCGAGAACCTGAACATCTCTCTCCCCGACGAAATGCTCTCGTCCAATGTCCTCGACCAGCTTCACAAACTCGAGCCTTTTGGCCAGAGGCAGTGGCACGTATGGTAATCTGAAAACCGGCCTGGCAACTCCTAGCTGAGCCAGAGCCGTGTTGAGGCCAATCGGGTTCGGCTCATAGAAAAGCCACTCCATCAAAGGCAAGAGCTTTGAATTCAATGACGGGTTTCTGCCTTCAAACATTAACTTCCTCATGAGACTGGGGACCAAGTTGCTGGTAACTGATATAACTCCAGTTGCTCCATGATCCCACCTCGAATCATGGCACTGATCATCGTTTCCACTCCACACGACGATCCCGTTTTCTGTGTACTCTTCAACTCGATCGTGCCCTACACACTCCTTAATGCCAGCCAAATTTGGATTTTGCGAAACTTTGAAAATCACCCGTGGGGGTATATCCTGTCCAGTTCGACCCGGCACGTTGTATATGATCGTTGGTCCCATGTGAAGAACTGTTTGGAAGTGCGAGATCATGCCTTCTATCGATGTTTTGCCATAATAAGGGTTTATATGCAAAGCAGCATGCATCCCCACAGCGAATCCCTGCTCAGTGGCATGGATGGCTTCCCGCGTCGAGTTGCTTCCAGTGTTCCCGATGACCTTAACACTCCCACCAAAACAGTTGACGGTATGGCCTATGAGCATGATATGTTCATCCCAGCTCATCAATTGGCCTTCACCAGTTGTACCACCGACTATAACACCCTCGACCCCATTTTCGATCTGCATGTTTACCAAGTCATCATATGCTTCGAGGTCAAACCTTCCATCAGGAAGATATGGTGTCTTAATGGCTGTGATCAACCGAAGAGATTTGATGTCATCTGTGTTCGTCCTGCAAGCATAAGCAAAAGTCACTTAAGCAAGAAAGTGACTGATCAAATATTCAGAGCCACATTATATTCGGTCAGGCATGCTTGATGCATGATCACACCAACCCACCTGTTCTTAACCTCAAGACTGCGCATTGGCAGATGAAAATTGGGAACAACGGCTGCTTTCGGGGAGATCCATTTTGAATTCATTCTGCATGACAAACAGAAAACAGAAAATGCTCACAAGATGGGCAGAACAAGACAGTTCCAACACAAAGACACGAATGGAGATGTTGTCCAAGAATCCATTTGAAACCTCAGCCATTCAAAGACATGAATTGAGATGTTCTCAATCAAGCTGAGTACAGCCATTAGCAAGAGGAACGAAGACAACCGTGCTGGTGCTACAAGTATTTTACTATTGAGTTTTAGATATCTTCCCTTCAAGGCCTCAATACTCCAAATCTCATACAGAATTGCTCTCCCTAAAGAGTTGCCTAATCGAAAAAAATGGTATATGGAGCCACAAACAGTCGACCAGTTCATGTCAGAATCACCTTCACTTACAGAACTTTTCTTTGTGTTCCACAAAGACATAGCCTTTCCGTTGCATCTACAGAACTATCATTTGGGTTTCTTCCATTCTCGGACACATAATGATTGCAGAAAACGATCGAAAAAACGGAGACGAACGCAACAAGAAAATCCAGACATCGATATAAGAAGACGTAAAAGAACCTCTTGTATCCATCGAATCGATGTGGACAGGGAAGCTGGAGAGTAGAGTCCATGTAGCACAAGCCATAGCTCTTCAAAGCCGCCATATTTCAACACAAAGAAAAACAGAATACGATTCCGGAATCCACCTCCGATCAAAATTTACGCCAATTCTTCAAATACCAACGCGTATCCGAGAGGTAGAGATAAGAATCAGCCGGCGAATGCGATGACAGCGTCAATTAGCGGCGGTAGTTGTACGAAGGGCGGAGATCATCCGGTGGTTCTCGGGTATGATGACGTCATGCTCCGACAAATTTATGGGTAAGACAGAAAGCAGAGCGGCGGCAGATAACAGGATGGCGGTCGGAGAAACACTGATATGACGACGACAAAAAAAAAAACCCCTTTAGGGTTTTTCCCCATCGCCGATATCATGCCACGTGGACCATACGGATATGCCACGTAGACACCAATTATTCTTTTTCTTTTGTCGATCCAGTAGATGACCGTGGTGGTGGAGGGTTTTTTGCGGGATCAATCTAAGATCTAACGGCTGAAATTTGCTATATCTGTAGGAACCAATGGTCATTTTGTTGGGCTTTTTAAATCTTATTGGGCTTTGAGCCCAATGAATCATTAATGGATTTTTCATTGATGGGCCTTTTTGGGAAAGTTGTGGACAAAAATGACCCTTTGTATGGAAGGCCTAAAAGATAGAATAAGCTCAATATTAGGAGGCCTTTATCTTTTAATAAATAACTATCACTGTTCTCTATAAGCATAGGAGATTCCGGTTATGTAAAATATGCATAGGAGATTCCGGTTATGTAAAATATAATCATATTTAAACCGGGTTTGATTATAAGTTATTCGAACGATAACAGATATGTATGATTCGGTGCAAGTTATTTCGTGTAAACACATATAGCCGTGAATATACAAGAGCTCAACAACAACAGCCTATGCTAAGATATTGGATGACTGATAACAACATATAATTTAGTGAAATAAAAACTACACAAAATATGTCATATAGATTCCATTCGGAAACCGTATATTATATATAGAAACTACTATATATTAGCGGTCTTGTGTGTGTCCATATATATACACATATATATATATGAGCTTCTTCGTCCTCGAGCTAACAATCATCACCGACACATGAAAATTGAATCCGAAATCAACAGTTTATAATCAGACAGTCCAACGGAAAACACAAATCCTCGTACGTGGAACCCGAAATCAAAATGTTGCTACTCGATTCACACGCTTCTTGGCAGCGAAGAATCTACACATATCATCTAATTTAGAATAAAATATAACCTAAAGAAATCTTTTTGAGAAGAAGAAGAAGAAGAATGTAATGTAATGTAACAGAAAACTGTATATAACCTTCGAGATTATATAATTACTGGTTCGATGATCAGAAAGGTGGTCGAGGCGTCACCCAGTAAGCTTCAGCCGGTAACTGGGCCGAGTTCGTAAGACTCGGATTCAACCCTTGTATAAACAACGGGTCTTGCATCAACTGCTGCTGCGTTTGCGTCCCATCCGCCCCCGAACGCAGCGTCGGGTTTCCATCCACCGCAGCTTCTGACTGCTCCTCAACAGGTAAACGCTCGTACGACGCGTTTCCAAACGAAGCCGCCATAATAACAACCGGACCAGACGCCGTGAGCGGTCCCCCACCCCCCCCGCCGATGACCTGACCTTGACCACCGGCTAAGTAAATTGTTAGCCCCGACGCGGCGGGTGGGGCCGGAGGCGGGAGAAAGGAGCCAGAGAGGGAGACAATATCGAAGCGGCCGTGCAAGTTGACGACGGAGCCGCCGGAGGGTTGGTCGATGGTGACGTTGGTGACGGCGCCGTTACCGCTTAAAACGCACACACCGAGTTGGCGACGGCGGGCGAAGACGGTGATGCTCTCCATGACGTCGCAGCCGTTGGCGATCTCCATGACGTGGGATTTCAGCGCGTTTGCGCTGTCTCGCGTTATGATGACAGGAGGTTTCGGTTTGTTCTTGGATCCTGACGGCCTGCCACGTGGCCTCTTCGTGACCTGCTCTCCTCCGCCGGCGACGGATACGGAGGCGGCCTGTCCTTTCTCGGCGGAGATGATGGGATCGTCGTGGTCGGGCTTGACACGGCGGAGGTGTTGGTCGTCGTCACGGTGATTTGAAAGCGTGTGCCGAGACTGGTGGTGTGGATGGTGAAGATGAAGGTCTGGAGACATGAAAGGAGGAGGAAGAGAGCGTGATATTGGATCCATTTCTTCTTCTTCTTAGCTGAAATAAAACCGAGAACCCTACTCTCCTCTTCTCTTGCGTTCAAAAGGAGCTTGAAATATTGCAGGATTACACAGGTCAAGAGCTCCGAATCAATTCAGAATCGCTGAAGGATTTTGGAAAAGAAAGAAAACCCATGAATACACGGATGCATATACATATATACACGCACATATATGAACAAATATGAACAAGAGATGGTGTAATTAGTAGAAGAAATAATTGAGAGAAGGTCCGGGAATGGGGTTAGGGTTAGGGCGGGAGAGAGAGATGGTTGATGGCTTCTGTTCGGGTAATGCGCATGGGCGGTGTGGTCCCCACTGACTCGTATGGGTCCCACCGATCACATTTTTTTTCGTTTTAATCATCTTTCCATACAAATATTCAAATACTCCCTCCATTTCAAAATATTTATAATTTTAGGTTATTTTTCATATTTCAAAATATTTATCATTCTATATTTTTAAGACATTTTTTTACAATAGTTTCCAATTTTATTCCTATTAAATTCTAATAAATTATTAATGATAATATTATTTTTATTATTAAATAAAGGTGTATGTGACTTTTTCTCGGTATATATGATTGTGAATTTGTGAGTAAACTATCAAAGCAATTCAATTCAGTGTGGTAATAAAGCTACAAAATACTAGATAACTGTAGGCGTATATTCAAAGTGTCCGAATCTGATATTCTCAAACTAAAGAAAAAAGACCACCCGATATATAAAACTAACTATTCATATCGGACATGGTATGATGTACGGTCTTAATCATTTTCGTGGCTTATTATATAGTTTTCAATTAAAAGTACAATTTTATAAATATAAAGAAAAGGTATTAATCTAACTAAGCAGCAGTGGTAATTTTCATGAATTATATATAGCATGTACAGGCGCAATGGCAAAGCTAGATGTGTATATTTGTTAGACGAACATAAAAAAAGACATAGAGCCCGAGAAAATATAAGCAATTGCAGTTCGGATTTTCTTCTGTTACTCCACAACCCAGTAACAAAACAAGCATCAACAAGGTAAGACCATTTCAACATAAGGCATGAAATGTTAGCAGGCCTAAGCACAGACAGGATGGATAGTAGTGATTACAAAAATTTTCATTTCAACTAAGCTCAGATTTCAGAAGAGGCATATGAGAGCAAGGTGCAACCACAAAAGCAGACCGGTTACATCAAAATAAAGAATGAAACCCTCACTACCTGAACCAGATGAAAATCCTCGGACTGAAAGCATCTGGGAACTGGAAGGCAGAGACGGAAGCTTATAGTTAGAGATCAAATATCTGTATAGGCTCACAGTTACATGTATGAACATCAAATACACGGAGAAAGAGACACATGCAGAGAAAATTGCGGAGCTCGTACCAAGTGAATTCATTTGCAAGTAGTGGTCCTCCCACCCTGTTACTTAATTTTGTTGTCATTGTGGAAAAACCACTGAAAATGCTAGGCACTGACACCTATATAAAACAAGTCACGACGTCAAGACCTAAAATGATGATCCAGGGAGTCGAAATGATTCGTTTACATAAACGGAGATCAAGTCCATTCTGGAGAAGACTGTCGCTAAATCACGGAAGGATTGGTCACAGAAGCTAGACGATGCGATATGGGCTTACCGAACGGCTTTCAAAACGCCGATTGGTATGACTCCATTCTAATTAGTCTATGGAAAAGCATGTCATCTACCAGTTGAGCTCGAGCACAAAGCGTATTGGGCAATCAAGGCGCTTAACTATGATATGAAAACCGCTGCAGCGAAACGCGAGCTCCAGCTTCACCATCTTGAGGAGATTAGGCTTGACGCATATGAGAACGCGAAAATCTACAAGGAGAGAACGAAGAAATGGCACGATCGACACATTATTCAGCGATCATTCCACTCAGGTGATCTTGTCCTTCTCTTTAACTCTCGTTTGCGATTGTTTCCAGGGAAGCTGAAGTCTAAGTGGTCCGGCCCATTCAAGATCCATCGAGTTTTCGTCCATGGAGCGGTGGAACTATATGACAGCAAGGGTAGCACATTCAAGGTAAATGCACAGCGTCTGAAGCTGTATAACCCGGCTGATCCTGTAGGAGAGAGAGGCATTCTTCCTCTCACGTTGCCACCACCTGCCTGATCTCACATATGGTCTAGCTAATGACCATAAAGAAACGATTCTCGGGAGGCAACCCGAGGTCTTTGTTAGTCCTAGGTTTTTCTTTTTGGATTTTTTTTTCTTTTGGACTTTAGATCTTTGCATTAGATGTGAGATTTTGGATTAGGGAACCTACACGGTGTTTTCCCTCGTGCATAGGACTGCATGGCATGATTTGCAAGTCATTCAAAGTGAAAAGCAGCGAAAACTTGAAGTTCCAAAAGTTGAAACCGACCGATTCCATATGGAACCAGATCGGTTCCACTCTCTGAGATGATAGACCGGTTTGAATGCGAGGTAAGTGTGGATTTTGGAACCGACCGGTTCCATTTCGGCTTTTATACCCACAGTCACGACAACTTCTCATCTCGCCGCTCTCTCTCCCTCTTACGATCTCTCTCACCCAAATCCCGGTTTTCCTACACTTCACGCACAAAATCCCTAAGGTATGTGCATTCCTATCACTCTTTTGTGCTCCACTACGAGTTTTGGGTAGATTTGGGTGAACCCTAGGCGGATATTTCGAATTTATTTTCGCTTTCTAGGTACTTATGGGAGATTTCACTTTGTTCGGGAAGTTTCAGTGCGTATTGCGCGTGGATCTTGCTTGTTTTAGGCTAGATTTATGTTACCCATGCGTCCTTAAGGATGATTTTCAGCCTATTAAGTCGGATTTTGGCAGGTTGGTGTTGGATTTGTCGCGTTTTTGCGTTTCAGGAAATGGAACCGGACCGGTTCCATATGGAACCGACCGGTTCCAATTGCGGCGTTTCGGATATATATATATATATTACAATATATAGAGAAAATCACATATAAATACTTTAATTTTTATAAAATATCTCAAATAAATATCTAAATTATAAAATTTAAATATAAATATCTGATTTTTTTCACAAGTCTTAAATAAATATATAGACTTTTAAAAAAATTTAAATAAATCCAAAGTTTAAGCTTTTATCAAATAAAAATAATTAAAATTGTTAACGAATTTTAGATTTATTTGAAATTTTTTTAAAAATTTAGATATTTCTATACATTTTTTAAAAAAATCAGAAATTTAAATGTTATTTTCCCTGGTTTATATAGGCGGATATATCATGCACACTCTCGGGTACAAAGCCACCATTATATACATATATATATATATATATATATGAGTGTGTGTGTGGACAGAGATTAATTAATGAGGCGCATGAAAGTTTGTGACAATTTATTAGGGGTTGAAAGGAAAAGACGGAGTTATTTCTGTTAGCTGGACAGTGACGGGAACAACTACGAGTTTCAAGTTTCAACCACTAGGCACCTGCAGTTACTCTTCCACCTTCCCTTAGATGTCGTCTGTCACGTTCTTCAAAATTTTAGAATTTTTTTTTAAAAATGGTATAATATCTCTTAATTTTGACAGCGTTATAAATTTAGCCTTAACCTATGTTTGTTTGTTTGTTTTTAATGTTAAATTTACCTTGAATTTAGTTCAATTCTAATATAGCAAATAATAGTTAGAAACAATACTTAATTGAACATGTATTATTATATATAAACTCTTCATTTCCTACGCGTGTATATATATAAATATACACATAAGTGTCTTAATCTGATACGAAAATGATGTATTAAGTGTATATATGAATGATGTGTTACTATTATACAATATTGGCAACGGTCGCATTAATTTTCGACCAACCTAGAAAAATGATTTTAGCCCATGATTAGCCGGGATATATAATATAGTCAATAATGATACAAGGGAACATATATATTCACATATTGGGGGGGGG